ATTTTATTTAATCTGATAAGATTGTATAACAAATCTATCAGTTTTGAAGTATTGTTATGCTGTTTTATGAGTGATATAGTCTATGTATATTTGTTAGCTATGCTTCTAAAAACTGGAAGGCTAATGTAGTTTCATTAGGACCTCACAGATTTTGATGATCATCTTGACGATTTCACCAAGTAAGCGACGCATCAATCGGCAAAGCAACACCTCTAAAGTCCAAGATTTGTAGTATATCACTTTTAATTAACTATCCTTCTTTACTTTTTAACTGCAAGTACTTTTTCACCTTTAGAAACAGAGCAAAGGTGCTCAAAGTACTTTACTTTCCTATGTCTTGAAACACTCTGTTTTAATTTTTCTACAAGTGAAATGAAATACCTTCTTCTTGTGATCCCTAAATATAAATACAAAAAAGTTAGTTGATCTGTTCTGTTCAAGTTCTTGCTTTAATTGAACTTTGAGCTAAAGCTATTATCTTTGAATGTTCTTAACTTGCAAGATGCATGGTTAAAATTTCTGACTCGCTCACTTCTTAAGAAACATATTCTAAATCATTTTTTTACATTTTTTTGAGCTCTTTACTTCTTAAACACACAACAGTCTTACACAATGTTACTTATGATTACCAAAAAGTTTGGCAGCTCTGAGAAACTCCAGAGCAAATGTTCAACTCCACCAAGGTTTTAGAACACCGGGCAGCCCTTAACGGCAATCCCTTTCTCTGTCGGGCAATGTGCCAAAGGGCAATGGTCTGTGTTCTCACTCCCCCACCAATTTGGAAAACTTATGTTGTTGTACTGAAACGCAAAGTAGATCAACACTCCCATCATCGCAGTGCCTGCATCAAGAGCTGCAGAGAGGATGTAGTTATGCCTTGCCCACCATCCCTTGTACCTCCTGAAGATGTAGTAGTTGAAGATTACCCCGACAATGACCCAAGACCAGTAATGCACAGCCTTGGCCTTTGGCATCGCGTTAGCCGCTGAGAAGATCAAGGGAATATGAACCTGCTTTATCCACTTCTTCTCTGGGAATTTCCTTGCAAAGAACCAGACCGGGACAGGAGCAAGGAAGCCGATGAGGAAGAACCAATTCATCCCGGGGTAAACCCCTTTACTAGTGAACATCCTTCCAGGACCGATGATTCCCCAAATGATCGACGCGCTGTAGAACACTTCGTCCCCGGGACAAGTCCACGGGCTACTCTTTGGGAGCTTATCTGTGTCACATATGTTCTCGACTGAAGAAAGCAGCCACCATGTGGTCCCGAAGCAGACAGTTGAAGCAACCACAGTTGCAACGAGCTGAACGACGAACATAGATCTCGGAGGAATCTTCATGTAGTGACCAAGTTTGAAGTCTCCTACAAAGTACAAGGCTTGGGACATGCTCACATAACCGTAAGTCTTAAAAGTCACATTGGCAAGTGGCTTTCCCGGATACATGTAGCCGATGATCAGTTCCGTTATAACATTAAGACCCATTTGCTGGTTTGTAGTCGCTTGGATAACTCCAATAGGCAAAGTGAAGGTAAAGGCGATGGCACAAGCAAGTACAAGTCCCCACCACGGAAGTTGGAGTTGTTTGCCAAATCCCTCACACGCGTAAAGAGCTAGTACAAAGGAAACAACGAGAACCGCAACAAACCACCATTGAGGCACTTCCTTATAATTCTTCTTCATCAGTCTTGTATGCACATCTCCAAACTTGTCCTTTGTGGCGATTGTCGCCTTGGTCCACATCCCCCAAATAAACCTTCAAGGAAACAACAAAAGATTAACTAGTAATGGAAACTGATTAATTGATCTATAATTTGTTGAGAGGCAGAAGCAAGAGGAAAAAGATTTCTTACTTTCCGTCAAAGAGGGCGACGTGAGAAATGGTTGCGGTAAGAGTACCGAAGCTGAGTCCATAGATGAGTGCAAACATAACGCTAAGGTAAAGCCTGCTATAGCTTTCGTAAGCGGGAAGATTGATGTCAAATGTTTTCTGGTTGAGGATACGAGTGGTGTTGAAACGCTGACCGGTGTGATCAAATTGGCGAGAGGTA